GGGGGGGCAATGTGAAGATATATGTGGTTATGCTGGAAAAATGCATGTCAATATGTTATTCAGAAAAAACAAAGGATCGGGTTAATTGAAGAAGTTTTTTTTTACATGAGCATACAAATCCTCAGCAATTCCTTAAATGTTGCAGTCTATTCAATAAAGTTGTTCAAGAGTATTCAATTCAAAATCTAAACTGAATTTTCTTTAAGACGATATCTAAATGTTCACAATTAATTTGGAGCTCATTTTCGTAATATCCATAAAGTTTAGAGTGATGATATTTGCATAGCTAATGGTTAGCAGAGATTATGTTATATAAAGCATCGAAACTAAAATCAATTTTGGCCTACTTTAAATGCCATGTACAGGGTTTTAATTTGATTGAAAACATGTTTATTAAAGAACTTTAACGACTTAGAGCAAAAGATATTTTGGAATGGTATGTAAATCAGTAATGCGCACAAGTAGTACAAAAGTACCGCTTTTGGCGCAGGGTCATTGAGTGCACTCCCCTATATAATCCTTACCACCTCACTGGCACCCCCCTAGTGGCACCCCTTCGGCAGGGGGTACCGATCGATGACGTCACAGGGGGATTCTCATGTATTTGGGTTTTTCCTGACTACATCTTTTTATAGCGACAACCTATATACGAGGAGGGTACCAATCGATGATGTCATAGGGGGTTCTCATGTATTTGGGTTTTTCCTGACTGCATCTATTTGTAGCGGTCCGATTGCATCACGTTTAGAAATAGTCAAACCGGTTCCAACCGGTTATGAAAACAACACCGAGAAAGACACCGTATTCCCCATCCTACTTTCATGAAACATGGAAATTAAAAGTTTTTATTCTGATATCGAGTACTGTTACACATTGTTTAAACCAGTCACAGTAACTTGACAAAGTAAGTCTTTCCATAAGACGCGGGTCCCAATACATTTGCAGTGAAGGGGTGTTTAAAAACGAAATCCTGCTGCTGCTGCTGCTGATGCTGCTGCTGGGTAAACACAGCATATACCGGCTGCTTCATAATGTCTATGTAGGATGGTTGCTGCTGCTGTTGTTGTTGTTGTTGTTGCTGCTGCTGCGTCGGGACTCCATCTCCATGGTAGGCCCAGCAGCAGCAGCAACAACAACAACAACAGCAGCAGCAGCCGGTATATGCTGTGTTTACCCAGCAGCAGCAGCAGCAGCAGCAGCAGGATTTCGTATTTAAACACCCATTCACTGCAAATGTATCGGGACCCACGTCTCGTGGAAAGACTTACTTTGTCAAGTTACTGTGACTGGTTGAACAATGTGTAACAGTACTCGATACAAGAATAAAAACTTTTCATTTCTATGTTTCATGAAAGTAGGATGGGGGATACGGTATGTCTTTCTCGGTGATGTTTTCATAACCGGTTGGAACCGGTTTGACTTTTTCTAAACGTGATGCAATCGGACCGCTACAAATAGATGCAGTCAGGAAAAACCCAAATACATGAGAACCCCCTATGACATCATCGATTGGTACCCCCCTCGTACATATAGGTTGTCGCTATAAATAGATGCAGTCAGGAAAAACCCAAATACATGAGAATCCCCCTGTGACGTCATCGATCGGTACCCCCCTGCCGAAGGGGTGCCACTAGGGGGGTGCCAGTGAGGTGGTAAAGGATTATATAGGGGAGTGCACTCAATGACCCTGTGCCAAAAGCGGTACTTTTGTACTACTCGCACATTTCTTTAGCAAATTGTGTTCGGGGTTAAGGTGAATATTGAGAGTGGCCTGCGCAATGATTTGTAATAAATAGTTAAACAACAGCATACACCAAGGATATCCCATTGGACCAATAGATTTCAGAACCCATCTTAACTATTTCTATGTATTTCTATGGAAACTAAATTTCAATGTAACCTCTGTGTAAAAAAATGGGCTGTAAATTAGGTAATTAATGATAAAGAATGGAACCATCTTATAACATATTGGGGACTGTGGAATTGTAGATAGTGCTATTCCGTCTTTTCGTATTGCAGAGTTATCTGCTCTTGTGAGCAGGAATTGATTGTTACGGCATATGTTTGTGTGAGAAAATTACGTCGTTTTCTCAAAAAATGATGACGTTACTCTCACAAACAAATGACGTAACAATCAATACCAATAACAATAAGAGCAGATAACTCTGCAATACGAAAAGACGGATTAGGGTTATCCATTAAGTGTCGACAAGGTCCGTCATGGATGACATAGAGATAGGAAAGAGAGTGTGTACTCTCCAAAACAGACAGGGGTAACTGGCAATGCCATATTATAAGGTTCATCAAGTATTGTTGATTCGGAAGAGAAAGTTAGCTTAGAAGTTAGATAAGAAGTGAGATTAAATTGATACACGTGCCTCATTACTTATGTACAATAGGCGGTACCTACTCGTGAATAGTTAATGTTGTATAGATTGTTAAAAATACTAAGGGATAATTGTATGGAGAGTTAGAAGTCTAGAGTTAAGAGTTGGAAGTTGAGGTTCGGGAATGTAGCTAGCCTCTGGAGAGGGAGGCCAGGGAAGGCCTAGACCGGAGGGGGCTGGGATGGCCCAGGTACAGTACTTGATATGCTTTAGAACTATGTGCTTGATGTTGTAACTCTATATAATCTGTGAACAGGTAGATTTGCTGTCGTGTTCCATAACTATGTTAAAAAGGACATTTGTTAAATTTAAGATAGATGTTACAAAGAGGGCCTACTCGAGGTATGGACCCTGACTGTCGCGGCCACAATGCGAAGTGAATAAAAGTTGATGTCCAGATGTGTTGCTCGGTGTGTTGTGTAACATCTGTCCAATTTCTCACCAGCCAAATTCTACTGGTGGATTTGTAATGCAAACTATATAATTCAGTTGAACCTCATAGACTTGAGTAATTAAAGTTAGATGGGGTTTATTTTCAGTCTAGTCGAGAGAATTTCATCCCTCTAGTACACTATATGTAAATATATTTTATAAATCAGAAAAATGATCCTTACGGACGAAGAAATATTATAAAAAGAAAAATTCTTAACAACGAGTCTTTAGTACTTTCATCTCTTCTAGGAGATATATAATGTAAATATATATAAATATATACATGTATATACATATTTTATATACAATGTAAATACTGTGACTACTACCTCCGTTTCAGAGGAGTTAAAGGTCAAAGGGAGGTAATTATATTATATAAACCTACTGAAATATCTGGTGGTAAGAGATCATTTGAAAATACATGTAATACAGTAGCTTATCTGATAAAATCCCAGACAGATATGTACAATACTTTGATGAACCTTATTACATTCTTGATCGAGAACAATTTGATTTTCTTTAGATAAAATGTAGTACAGTTAATGAAATTGTGTTTTAAAAGGATGTCTGATGGTACGGCAACCTAGCTGTGATGAAGAATTATATTTGTATAATATCCTCTGGCTCCTTGCGTTTTCAGAAACTCCACATCTTCTCTGAACTGTGTTCATATAGTTTAAGCAAAGTATGTCACTGAAAAATGCAATGGACAGTCGGGCACGGAGGCACGGTAGGCTAGTGGTAGGAAGCCGGGCTTGTGACCAAAGGGTTGTGGGTTCGAGTCTTGGCACGACACAGTATTGTATCTTTGAACAAGATACTTAACTTCGCTTGTTCCAGTCTACTCAGCTGTAAATGAGTACGTGGTCGGGCAGTGCTAGAACTGTTGATTGCTAGCCGTGAGCGCCGAAATGGCAGCATCGGCTGTATGCTCCCACGGGAGTTGAGAAAGATGTTGGCTGGTTGCAAAGGTCCTTTAACCACAGATAATAATTTGTGAACCGCTTTGAGACGAGAACTTGGTTGTTCTAAAGCGGTAAATAAAAACCTGGAATTTATTTTTATCAGTATTAAATGTTGATTCGTGATTTG